CCTGACTGTGAGACAGAGCCAGGTCCCAATGGTCACAGAGCAGCAACAGCAGGAACTAGTTGGAAGTAGCCCCAGGAAACAAGACTTTGGTCTGGTTGTGCTGCTGGGATGCAAGGCAGCGAGTGTTTCCCCACTGACCCAGTGGCAGGATCGCCTGCCACTGGTAAGGCCCAGGGCTGGGTCCCCTTAACTCCAGGGCTGGGTACCCTTAACCCCAGCCCCTTACTCAGGGCTGGCCGCACACTAACCTTTAGGCCCAAAGGCCAGCGATGGACAGTTTAGTTGTTACTATTTGCCCCCTGCTAGGAGGCAGAGGGCTGTAGACAATTGCAGTGCTTCACCCACAGGACCAGAGCCCTAGACTCTGCCGTGTACCCTAGCCAGGAGGCTGGGGCTACCAGCTGATGAGTCCATTCCTCCTTTTTGGAGACCTGAACTGGTATCTGGGTGATTGTCCGTCAGCTATTCTACCTGGCAGCTGCATATACCAACTCCCTAATGCCACCAAGAGGGGACACCATGACCCTGACAGGGAGGACGGTTACAGGGAGTTATGAGTGTTCCAGTTATATATTACATGCCACCTTTTGGGTCTACATCATAACAACTTTATGCTGGGTGTAGTGTGTATGTCAGGCCTGACAAGTTGCTGACAGAGTAATGAACCACCAATAGGCCCCTCTGTCACATCTAGTTTCATCCATTTAACTTTACTTGCCCTTCAGGATATATGGTCCCAAATCTCGGTGATCCCCTACTAGGATAAATCCATCAGGCCAGCTAAGAACCTAGGGAGACCTCAGCCCCACAGAAACTCAACAAACATCAGGTGGAAATTTCTCTCTGTTTAAGCAAACTGGTCGCGTGGGAAGCAGCAATTGAAATCAAATCTGGGTGGTGAATGGACAGGGTACAATGATGGCTTTCTGTGGTGTACAGTCTCCCAGCAGCAGGTAAGTATGGGAGGGGTATAGGGTTGGCAGAGATCTCATCCTAGGGTGGTTTGAAGGTAGTGGATGAAACAAAAGGCAGCATTTCAGGCACAAAGGAGTTGGTATTGATAGAAGCTAGTGGGCTGTGTGAGAATTTCCCCTTGGCATTTCAGTATGTGAGAGTAAATTTTGGAGTTGGTTGAAAAATTTTCAACTAAACAGTTTTCCATTTTTGAAGAAAAATTGTCAAAACCAGAAAGTTTTGTTTAAACATTGAAACAAAGTGAGAAATTTCCATCAGTGTCATAAGTGTTTTTATTTTTACTTTTTTTTATTCATTTTCTTTAGACTTTATGTTAAAATATTAAATAGAACATACATATGGTATGTTACAAATAGAACATATAGAATTATAACCAATAGTAACGTGAATTTTACTGTTATATAAAAGTTTCAACGAAACACTTGTCGTTGTTGAAATGACCCAGTTTTGCCTTGTTGAAACAAAATGACTCAAAATGTGTTGGAATCTTTTGTTTCTCAGGAAACTTCCAAAATTCAGCGTTTAGATTCAGAATGAAACATCTGCAATGTCAGAACCTTCCTCAGAAGGGGGATTCTGGATTCTAACTAGCTCTAGTTAATTTCCCTCGGGAAGCTCCATCCAGACAGGGCACTCCTGGATTTGCTCTTTAGCTGGTGCTGGACACACTGCAGGAGGTACAGACCTGTTGGCCCATCTAGCCTAGTATCTTATCTCTGACACTGGCCGGCACTAGCTGCTTCCCAGGAAGATGCAAGGAACCCTGCATTTAGGGGATAACCTGCCCTCAGGGACAATGACCTCCTGACCCCCATTAGTAGAGGTGAGTTTATGCTCTGAAGCAGATTGGGCTCAATAGATGTTACTGTAATTGGTCTAATTAGTCTCTGGTGCCACAAGTACTCCTGGTTCTTTTTGCTGATACAGACTAACACCAGAAACCTGTAATACTACTACTACTAATGCACATATTATCCTGGGTCCTGATCTTGGCTGGGGCTCCTAAGTGTTACCCTAATACTAATAATGCACACACCATAATGGGGACCCCGATCTCTATCTGAGCCCAACTAATGTACAAATCCTAGTTGGGCCCTGATCTTTCCTACATGCTACCGTGCTACTAACTAGTAGCTAAAAGCCCATGCTGTTGTACATGTGGCATTTTTCCTTCGTGTTCTCCTTCCTTTAGCCTCTCTGTGGCTAGTGAGAGTAGCTTTCTTTTGTGGCATTGTGTGTGTGACCAAAGCTTAGAGTGGCATGGGTAACGGTGCCACCCTATACCAGTAAGTATGGGCACTGTGCCCAATTCTGTAGGGCTTGGAATCAGATTATTTCAGTACCTGTGGCAGGTTTTCCCCAGTATGCCTGTCTACTAGTTCACTGAACATCGCAGCAGCAAACATGTTAATGCAGCACGAAGTGGCATGTATTTATGAACAGGAAATAGAGAGCAGCAGCAGTAAAGCCACGTAGGGAAGTAGTATTTTTGGGGCCCTTGGTTTCTATCCACTGTGTTGTTGTGAGCAATGTTGCTGTTTGTTCATGTTCTCCAAAGTTTATGTACGGAGCTGCCCCCTGGCTGGATGCATAACCCCATTTGTTGTCCTCATCTTCTCTATCAGCTGCCACACTTCAACTGCCACAGAACCTTTGGGTTCCAGCATCCCATCCAGTTCTCCCATGGCCGAGGGATGATTGAACATGGTGATATGCTAAGCAAAAAACACTCTCAGCCAGGCTTGGAGCTGCTTTGCTGTGTGCTGACTCAACAGACGTTCTAGGTTTCACAGTGGCAGTCCTGGAAGGATTGTGTTCAGGGCAGGTGTAACCACTAGGCAAACTAGGCGGCGGCCTAGGGTGCCAAGATTTGGAGGTGGCAAAAAGCGGTGCCCAAAAATTTTGTTTTACACTGTTGCTGGAAAACGAATGAATGAAGAAAAGAGAAACGTTGAACTTGCATTTTAACTCGTCGTTCTTCTCTCATACGTTACAGCTATACCCTTCGCCAGCTCTGCGTTGCGGGCACAAGCGTACTGCTTCACTACGGTACAAAGTGGCAATGACGTCGTTTTTCTCGTCACGCGCAGCCCTTACCCGTTCTGACAGGCTGTTTATAATGCTACGTTTACTAGTTTTCGGGGATTGTCGACTGAGGCTAACTATTTTTGTTGAGTTGTTTCAGATCTAAGACTCTGGCAATTGCTGCTGCATCATTTCGCTAATACTCTGTGTCAATTGTGTGTGCATGTTAAGTATTTGAGTGTATATGTTGTGCGAATATGCATGTGTAGGTTGTTGAAATTTGTCATATTGATATTGTCAGTTGTTGTATGATGGAATATCCGCCATTCTAATTTTATACATTTTATTAATAACAATAATTGGATATTCTAAAGGTAGAATAAAATGTAGTAGATTTTGATATGAAAGAATGAAGGAAGGAAGAATACATGACTAAAAAGGGTGTATTTCCGATTACAGTCAACATTGCTTAATTTTAAGGAAAAGTCATCTTGATCTCTTAATCAATGTTTACGTCAAACAGTTGATGAAATTCAAATAGTGACTCATAGTTAGTAAGTGACATGTATTCTCTATCCTTTACTTTTAATAGTGAACAAGAAAAAGAACTGATAGGAATAAAATTTCATTTTTTTTTTCAGTTGATGCAGCTGGGGGGGGCGCAAGGTGGAAGTTTTACTGAGGGCGCAAAATATTCTTGCACCAGCCCTGCTTGTCTTGGTGTGTCAGTGGTGAGTGAAGCATATGTGCTGGGGCTGTGTGCGTGGGGCTGCGGTGGGGGTAGTTTTGAAGAATTGTTGTGGCTGAACCAAGTAATCCAGCATCTGTAAAGTCTCACTCATACAGCCAATGAAAATTGTTGATGCAGCATAGCTGTAGAGTAAGGATGGTGATCTCGGAAGTAACTCGACCAATGGTCTAGGACTCCGGCCATGGCATAGATACGTGCCTTACTGTAGCTGTTCATCTGTGATGAAGTGGGAATGTTCTTAATGTTTTCTGAATCCTGTGTGGGTGCCTCAGTTTCCCCTATGTATTTCTTAAGTATCTAGGTGGTGGGATAAGGGTGTGTTATTGTTGCAGAGCCCTAGAGAGCCAGTGTGATGCCGTCTGCACAGAGAATGGCCAACACTCTGTCTCCTGGCAACTGATGACCTGGGCCCCTCCCCTGCAAGGTGCCAACTGAAGGTGTTGAAGAACAAAGAAAACAGGTGACCTCCTTGCCCAGGGAAAGAGACAAAGGCCAGAGAAGGGGCTGGAGGGAGTTTCAATTTGGAGCTGGCTGGCGAGACAGGGGAGGCCCAGAACCTGGGTCTGGGCTCCCCACCCCCCAAGATGGACGTGACTGAGGGGTCCTGTTTTCTGTATCTACAAGCTCTGTTTTAGACTGTGTTCCTGTCATCCAATAAGCCTTCTGTTTTACTGTCCGGCTGAGAGTCACGGTGAATCGCAGGAAGTCGGGGGGTGCAGGGCCCTGACTCCTCCACATTCTGTGACAGCATCACAAGGGGGCACTTGTTAAAAACTGGATGGTACCACGTGGCAAAGCCCATCATGACTCAACCTGGTGCCATGCTGAACAAAAAGAGCCCTCAACCCTGCTTGTAGCTGTTTCCATTGCTTCACACACATTCTACAGCTATCATAGTCTTCAGAAAGTCTGGGGAGGTTTTGCCTTCCTCTGCAGTCCAGGGCATGTGTCAGGCAGGTTTAAGCTAGTGTAAAAGGTGGAGTCTCTGTACCTTGAAGTCTTTAAATCATGATTTGAGGACTTCAGTAACTCAGCCAGAGGTTATGGGTCTATCACAGGAGTAGGTGGGGGAGGTTCTGTGGCCTGCACTGTGCCTGAGGTCAGACTAGATAATCAGCGTGGTCCCTTCTGTGAGAGTGACATTCCTGGAATCTGATTATATGGCTAATGTGTACACCATAATTGGGGCCTGGCTCGTAATATACCAATCTAATGAGTGAGCCTCTGCCTCAAAAACTGAACTCCTTCATACAAGAGAATAAACCCAGTTTAATGTAAAGTTCACACCTCTGCAGACACAAACTCCAAGCCAATAGACTCTCCTGCAGAAATAGTGTCTCTGTTGCATAGAACAGACATTTACAAAAATGTCAGAAGTTCATCGTCTCATTAAACATGGCACCCAGTTAGCAAAGAACCCAGGAAAATAACAATCCATTTCAGTACAAACTGCTGCCCAGACAGCAGCTTGGTAATGGCTCCTTAGGGTGAAATTCACACTGTGCTTAAGGCTAGGGAAAAAGCCTGGACGCCATAATGCACCAGGGCTGCACTGAGGGCTAAATGGATAGGGCCTAGCACTAGCCCCTCTGAGTTGCACCTTTTAGGGAATCCTAGCTGATTGGTGTCCCCAGTTCTGTGTAGTAGGGTGGGGAGACCAGGCTGGATAGAGCAAGGTCAAGTGTTGGCTGGAGGTTGGGAGTGTGAATTTTATTAGTCTCCTCACATGCCACCAGTCTGTTTTGGCTTTAGTGTTAGACAGCATCCGGCAAGGTCTTCTGCTCCCCGTATTGTGCTGGGTTCTGTCTGTGCATGATCCCATTCTGGGTTACCTCATGGATTGGTTAGGAATTCCCCCTCTAACCATGATATGAGGAAGACCGTTTGATTGTTGTGGAGAGATCTGCTGCCTGGAAGGAAGCAAAGCTGCATCCACTCACCAGCCCACCTCCCAGATTACATTTGGTGCTGTCCTTTCAAGCATCTGCTTCTGGCTGATGTCAAAGATGGAACTACATGGGCTGTGAGCCTGAGCCAGGGCAGTAGGGAGGGAGAGATACCGGGCTGGATGGGTCTATGGGTCTGATCCAATGCAGCAGCTCTTCTCTCACAGTTTAACAGCCCTCCTTAGCTTAGGACTCCCAAGGGGTAGCCAGGGTCACTGTATCCCCCGGTTCAGCCCCTCTGCCAGCCAGTGCAGAAGAGGGGCCTGTGTTGGCAAGGAGGGAGTCAGCATGCCCGGGCAGGTGGATTCATGGTCCTTGAGCATTTGATTCCAGTAGTTCAGCTCCTCCTTCAGGGCCTCAATCTCCTTCTTCAGGGCTGTGTTATTTTGCTCCAGCTGCTCGTGTTGCTGGGGTGAAGGGAGCAAAGAAAGAAGGGGTTAGACTAAAATTCAGGCCACCTTGGAGAATGGATCTCTAGGGGGCCAGGTTCAGTAGGGCAAGGGAGTGGAGTCTAATGGGTTAGAGGTGGGGGGTGCTGGGAGTCAGGACTCCTGGGTTATATTCTCAGTTCTCATTCTTACTACTTGATTATTAGTAAGGTTAAGATTTTGTCACAGTTATTTTTAGTACAAGTCAGGGGCAGGTCACAGGCAAGTCAGGGACAGGTCATGGGCAATAAACAAAAATTCACACAAGCCTGTGACCTGTCCCTGACTTGTACTAAAAATAACTGTGATAAAATAGGGCTGATGGGGGGAGGACTGAAGCCCGAGCGGGGTGGGGAAGAGAGCCTGATCCCTGCTGCAGAAGAGTGGAGGGGTCCAGCATACACCGCTGCCGTAGCTTGGAGTGCTGGGGGCCGCCCGTGACAGCTGGGAGCTCCAGGGACACCCCCCACCCCCCCCCACTGGCTGAGAGCTCTGGGACCAGAGCTCTGGGTCCCCATGCCAGCTCAGAGCTCTAGGGCCCCTGCTGGCTGACAGCTCCAGCCCATCCCCTCAGGGCTGAAGTGGAAAATGTCACAGAGGTCTCTGAAAATTATGGAATCTGTGACCTCTCTGACGTAATCTTTTCCTTAATGATTAGGAAGATCAGCTCTATTAATTATTTCTAGCCATTTCTGTGCAGAACACCAGTGACCCCTAGTGGTTGATGTGGTGGCAGGCACAGTCACAGAATAGCAAACAGCAACAATGGATACACTGCTGACTCCAAACAGTGGGGCACAGGCTCTGCTGGTGCTTTCACATCAGTGCCCATACAGCAGGACGTGGGTGCTGGGTTAACAGGCTGGTCACTGCCTCTCATGAGCCAAATTCTGCCCCTAGTTATCCCCATATCTGCTTCTATAGGGTCATGCAGAGGGACAGAATTGGGCCATAAGAATTGTACATAATCCATGGCCAATAACATAATCGTGCAAGGATAGAGCCCTGATTTCCCCCACCCTCCACCTGCTATTGGCTATGCTGGATCTAGGACACCTGGCTGAACAGTTCCGATTCTATCAGCAGGGGACACTGCTGTGCCTGCACATGCTTCACAGTATGTGCCCGGCAGCTGCGTTAGCATTGCCCTCAGCACTGCCATTCACTTCCCTGGCCTTTAAATCCACAGCCTTCCCCTTGCATGGATGGTGCTTGAGGATTTCTAGGCACCTTGATCACATTGAAGGTGCGGTGTGGGGGTTGATGAGGGGCCAAGAAGGCACTGGGGTGAAGAAGAAGAATAAGGAAAAATTTCTAGTGCTGTTCTGTACGCCAATGGTGCGGCCTCCTCTGGAATACTGGATAGCAGAGGAAGGTGGGCCTAGTGGTCAGAGTCAGTCGGGCGACCCAGGTTCAATTCTCTGCTCTGCCACAGATTTCCTCTATGGCCTTAGGCAAGTCCCTTAGTCTCTGTGCCTCACTTTCCCCATCTATACAATGAGGGTAATAGCACTGCCCTGCCTCACCAGGGTGCGGAGAATAAAAATGCAGTAAGGCCAGTGAGATGCTCAGTGACTAGGGTAATGGGGTGCAGACAGGTACCTGAGCTAGGTTCTGTGTGCACTACTGGTCACCCCATCTCCAAAAGGGTATTGCAGAATGAGCATGGGGGGTCAGAGGCCTGGAAACACTCTCTGAAAAGACTGGGAAGGATTTCAAGGAGACAAAAGAGAGGGGACATGATCAAAGTCTCTAAAATACTGTCTGGTCTAGAGAAGGGAGAGGAGAGCTTATGTTTTCCTTGTCTCGTACCATGAGAACAAGGGGCCGTTCGATGAAATTGAAAGAGGGGAAATTCACAACTAATCAAAGGAGAATCTCACTCATACAACATAGCATTAGCCTGTGGAACTCTCTGCCACAGCAAGTCACTGAGGCCAAGAGATTAGCAAGACTCAGAAAAAGGAGTGTGGAGACATATATGAGAACAGGAATAGCTGGAGTTAATGTTGGTAAAAATTGTGGAAGGGATATTAAACTTTGGGCTTCAGCAAAGCTCTGACTAGTAGAGACCAGGATGAGGCCTAATGTGGGGAGCAGAGTAGTGCACATCTGCTTTTATGGGTCTCTTACACCTTTCTTTGCTGGGCACTGTCAGAGACAGGCTACTGGGCCAGTCTGCAACATCCTGTGTTTCTGCTCTGTGCAAGGTCTCCTGTCTCTCACTGGCTCCCTACCAAAGTCCAGACCACTGAGCGCTTTTGCTATCACTTTCCCTCTGACAGGTCAGCTGGGCATAGCCTTGTGTCCTTGCTAGACACAGCTTCTCCTTAACCAACTGCATGCAAAGGGAATGGTTTGGAAGGCCCCCTGTGTACCTTGCTATGGGGATGTAATAGAGAATGGAGGGCTAGAAATTCTGCAGCTCACAAATGCGATGGAACAGACTAGTGAGAGACAGTGGGAGTCTAATGGGTATGCATGGTCTGAGAGTCAGGATACCTGGGTTCATAGATTTTAAGGCCACAAGGGACCATCATGATCTAGTCTGACCTCCTGCATAGCACAAACCAGAGAAGCTTATTCCTAGCTTGATCCCAGCTCTGCCACTGACCTGCTGGGTGAGCCTGGGTAAGTCCCTTCCCCACTTTATGCCTCTTTCCCCTCCCACCTTTGTCTATCTAAACTGTCAGCTCTTCAGGGCAGAGACCGCCTCTCACTGGGTGTCTGTGCAGCACCTGGCACAATGTGGGGTTACAGTCTATGGATGCTGCCGTAATACAGATAACGTACGGAATAGGCATACAGTGACGTAAGGACTAACATGGAGGACTGGGAGCCAGGAGTCCTGGATTCTAGCCCCAGCTCTGGGAGAGGAGCGGGAGGGCTCAGAATCATTTCCATGAAGGTGACAGTTGAGCCCAGGAGGCATGAGTCCCAGTGTTCCCCCGCCTCTAGCCACTAAAGCGCATTCCCCTCCCAGAGCAGAGAACAGAACCCAGGAGTCCTGACTCCCAGTCTCCTGCTGTGATCATGGGCCTGCACTGACTTCACACAAACGCACTAGACACCACACCAGCAAACTGAGAGGGGCCCAGGGGCCACACTTAATGCATGTGGCTATTTTTGGTTCACAAAACCCCAACTTTCTGGTGCTGCAGGAAGTCATCTTGCAGAGCCCCTGCTCCTCATCCTGCCTCCAACCCTTGGCTTCGGACAGCCAGGACGGTACCTCACCCCATCATCCCATGCTTGGGTCTTAAAGAGCCAGTGATTGCTCCGGGGCTAGAGAGAGAGATCTTCCTTCCTCCGAGGCTGTGGTTCCAGCATGTCTCACTAAGGGATCCCACCTCAGGCCTTGCCACTTGTGCTGATGAAGAATCCCTGCTCACCGGTAGGCCTTAGGACACATGTAGTTATGCAGTTTTGATCACCTCCACCAGAAGGCAGTGGTCCTCGCACCTATGACCTCCTTGACTCCCACCATCAGTTCTTGTTAAGTTGCTAACAGGGGAGCCTTCCCTTTGTGGGGTCCCGCACCAGCGCCCCTATATTTCATCCTGTCTTGTCCCTCTTAGCCCCCCTCCACTGACCTGATGGAGCTCGTCCGCCTTCTCTGTGTGCTTTTGTCGGCTCCTCTGGGCAGCTGCACGATTCTTTTGACGTCTTTTCAGCTTCTTTTCTTCCAAAGAATTCTGGGAGACAAATCAACCAGTGAGGCATGAGATGAGTTGGCTGGGCTTCAGTTGAGGGGGCTCCCCAGCACAGAGGGCACTAGCTGATCCCCAACCCACACCCTTAGCAGTGAAGCCGAGGGCTGGATGGGCCATTGGGGCTGACCCCCTTCTACCCTCCTAGTAGTGGGGTGAAGTGAAGCCAATCAGCGGGAAGAGCAAGGGGAGAAGGGAGGATGCTTGCCCCGCTGCTACCCACACTGTGCCTGCGCTGGGGCTAGAAACAGAGGGCTTTGCACTCCAGGGTTGTGGGATCCTGTGGGTTAGAAGAGGAGACTGTGTCAGGGCTCCTGGGTTCTATTCTTGGTTCAGGGAGAGGAGGGGAGTAGAGTCTAGTGGTTAGAGCCGGGGAGGGAGATCAGGACTTTTGGGTGTCTCTGCTCTTCTCTTTATCATCCCAAGTGAACCCAAGCTAACAACAAAGTACCGGGGTTCTGGGGCAATAGAACACACAGGACTATGGGTGTTGGGCACTGGCTGTTTTGAACCCACACCAGTCATGGCTCAATGGTGAATCGGATCAGGGCTGCCTTATGGCAGCCATGGGCACACTTCTTCATGCACACAAGGGGATTTAGGAGCACAAGCCCAGTGACTGTCTGTGGGTTGGGGCTCCTAGGTGACCTAGGCACAGTGGAGAGTCCCACCCAGGCTGGCAGTCAGTCTCCCAGCAGGTCTCAGAGCCCTATTGTGATCCCAACTACCTGAGGGGAATCTGGAGTCAATGCTGGGGATGAAAGGATTATTCTAGGGTGACGGAAAGCTACAGCTGACCCTCTGCCTGTCTCCCCACATCTTTTACACACACACAATCTGGCACAGACACAGTCTTTGTCATATACACAGTCACACAATCTCCCTTTCACACAGGCAGACACACACACACAAACTCTTACACACACACACACAAAATATCTGTCAAATGTTCAGACACACACAATCTCTCTCTGCGATATACAAAAACACCACACTCCTACCCATACAGTTGTCTCTGTCACACAAACACTTTCTTTCACACGCTCTTGCACACATGCACAGCTCTCTCTCTCTCTCTCTCTCTCTCTCACACACACATACACACACACACTGTCAAACACACACATACTATTTTCTTTCATGCATACAGGTCTCTGTCTCACACTGTTCTCTCTCTCTCTCACACACACACACACACTGACACACACAATTATCTCACACACTCAAACACACATACAGGTCTCTCTCTCTCTCACACACACACACACAGTTATTTCTGTCACACACACAGAGATCTCTGTCTCATACACACACAGTCACACAACACACAGTTCTCTATCACACACACTGTCACACATACATGCACATACAGTTCTCTCACACATGCTCTTGCACACATGCACAGTTCTCTCTCTCTCTCTCTCTCACACACACACACACACACACACACTGTTAAATACACACATTGTCACACACAGTTTTCTCACACACACAGGTCTCTGTCTCACACAGGTCTCTCTGTCTCTCACACACTCTATTCTCTGTCACTCAAACACATACAGATCTCTGTCACACACACAGTTCTTTCTGTCACACACACAGATCTGAAACAGATCTGTCTCTCTTACACACACACACACACAACACACAGCTCTGTGTCTGACACACAGTGTCACACATACACTCATACATATACACGTCTCTGTCACACACACAAAAGCACAGTTCTTTCTGTCACACACTTTCTCACACACATGCAGTTCTCTCACACATGCAGTCATACACACAGTTCTCTCACACACACATCTCTCTCTCTCTCTCTCTCTCTCCCTCTCACACACACACACAGCTCTCTCTCTCTCTCACACACACACACACACACACACTTCTGTCTCTTACACATACTGTCCCATATACACAATCACGCACACAGAAAGTTCTCTGCCACACACATGCTGTCACACACACACAGCATTCTCTCTGTCTCACATACTACACAATGTCACACACTCACAGTTCTGTCACACTCACACAGGTCTCTCTGTCACAACACTCACACAATCTCTCTCTCACACAGCTCTTTCTGTACTTACCACCGCTCCAACCATTAGGATATTCCCATCCTGTGAGTCTTCAGAGAGGCAGCTAGTGCTGCTCTGGGACAGAGGGTTAGTCCCAAACCGCTCCATGCCATGGACATGCATGGGGTCAGCTCTTGAGGTGACAGACCCCCAAGGAAAAGTGTGTACTCCGGCCGAGGAGCACTTAGCAGCTTGGGACCATCCCGACAGAAGCTGTGCTTCACTGGCCTGGCCAAGCTCTCCCTCACAGGCTGCCAGTCATCTCCTAAGAGCTCAGTGCATTCGTGACTTTATAAACACAGCTCAGTTTCGATTTATCCTAAACCAGCCCTTTGCTCAGAAAAGTCTGGCTCGGCTGGAAGACACGTGTTTGGAATTTCCTGCTTTGTGGGCAAGCCCAAGAGCTTCCTCCCATCTAGTTGGAGACAGAGCACGCTGCGTCCGCTGGCCAGTTCCCTAAGTACTTTCACTTTTCTGCAGGGAGTTGGTTCCTCATTCCTGCCCAGGATTGCCCCTGTCCCCAGGTCTGTTCAGAGCTTCCTCACCACCCTGCTGGCCTGCAGCCAGTCCCAGGTCTCAGGGCCACACTAGGGGAGAAGCGGGGAGGAATCATATCCTGTGGTAAGGAAGGCAGGGTGAATTCCCAGCACAGACCAGGTGGCTTGGAGTTTTCACATGGGTTTATCCAGTCGAGATAGATGCTAAACTGCACCCTGCTAGAGAGAGAGAGAGTGTGTGTGTGGGCGCACGCGCAGGGCCGGCTCCAGGCACCAGCGTAGCAAGCAGGTGCCTGGGGCGGCCAATGAAGAGGAGGGCGGCACGTCCAGTCGTTCGGCGGCGGGGCCGTCACTCCCTCTGGGAGCAAAGGACCTGCCGCCGAATTGCCGCCGATCACAATTGCGGCTCTGTGTGTGTGTGTGTGCGCACGCACGCGCTTGGGGCGGCAAAAATGCTAGAGCCGGCCCTGTGTGCGCGTGCAAGAAAACTCCCCCTGCCTTGTCCACACTAGGATTTTCCCACAGAAGAGCATAGGCCTGCTAAAATCCCCACCTTTTTCCCTAAAGAAGACAAGTCCTCAAGCTTTAAATATCCTTCTGGGGCATATCCTCAGATGGACGGATCTGCACTGATTTGCACTAAGCCAAAGGCTCATGCGGGATTTGCACCAGTTAGGATCTGTCCCATGGCAGACACTTTCCCTTCAAGATATATTGTTACTATTTAGCAGTAAAAAGTGACAGTGAGGTCTAGTTGATTAAACACAGATCTGGGAGGCAGGACGCCTGGGTTCCTTTGCTGGCTCTAGAGTATGTGGTGGGGGGGGGGACATTTTAGCAGTTAGAACAGTGGGCATAGACAGCGTAGGGTTACCATACGTCCGGATTTTCCCGGACATGTCCGG